GGGACCACAGGCGCCCGCCACAACGCCCGGCTATTTTTTGGTTGCAGCCGTCATTGTTGTTTGGCAGGCCTGGGCTGGATTCGAACCCGCCACCTTGGGTGTATGTGGCTGGTGCCTTAGCCACTTGAGCCACAGGCGCCGAGCCCAGAGCCGCATTCTTGAGGCCTGCATTGGGTTGAAATCTCTCTCAGAACTGCAGGAGTCATGGGCTGGGGCTTTAGGCCAGTACCCGTTCAATTAGGGCCACCAGGTAGCTGTTTCTCATGGAAATGCAGAAGTCTGCAAGGACTGTTCCAGTTCCTCAACCTTCTGCTCCCAGAAATACCACCTGATTTACTTCCTGATTTCTTAGTGCACGTTCAGCATCACCCCCTCTCTTGTTCATATGAATCATTTAAATGAATGAGTGCCTCAGCTTCCCAGGGCCAGGCACAGTGGTCAGCGGTCCTGGACAACACAACTGGCATTCACTAGCTCGGTGGCATTTTATTGGGCACCTGGGTTTGTTATGGAACTGGATGCAAAGACCACAACCCCCAGTCTGAAGTACTGAGGTGGGGGAGACCTTCATGGGGGTCCTAGTAGTAACCAACCAAAATTAATGGGATGGACATTTTTCCATGGCACAGTGCCCTGTCTATTTCTGTGGCCAGTGCTTTCCCCAGCCTCTGGAAAGCAATCAGAATATGGCCCTGTGCACCACATTTTCCTCCTATCAGGGTGGTGTGACCCGTTTATATACGAAGGTCCAGAGAATAGACCTGTCCACGGGCTGCTAGGGTGACTCTGGTTCTATTTTCAGTCATAATGTATCACCGCAGCCATTAGAGGCCACCTGTGTAACCAGTCGTAGAAGATGCCAGCAGCAGGCAGTAGAAAGGCCTCCTCTGAGGACTGCTGTCAGCAGGGGTGGGATGAGGTCATGGTCAGGCCTCAGCCCTTTGGAGGCCTTGGCCCTCAGACCTTAGACCCTTGACTTTCACCTCCCTGAGCCTATGTTCCCATCAGTAGGTCAGGGCCACCATCTCTGCCAGGCACACGGTGGGCACCGCATGGACCATGGCTGACCTGGGTGCTATGGTGTCAGGCCCCTGAAGCGAGGGGCTAGGTGACATGGGGCTTGCCCAGGCCTCTGTGGGTTGGCAAGATTTCTTCATGAGGACATCAGAACTAGACCTGCAACCAACACATAAGGCCAAGAGGGTGGTGATGAGAGCTCCCTCGCAGCCCCCTCTATGACAGCCTGGCTCATGGGCCACATTCTGTGGCTCTTGGTGCTTTCTCAAGTGCTGTCCAGCCCACAGGGGAGTCCTCTCCACCTCCCAGACATGGGCTGAGCCTTGTCCTCCAGGGAGGGAGCTGGGGCAGTGCAGGCCCTTTGGCCCGGAAGAACACAGATGCCAGAGAGCTCCTGAGCAGAGACAAAGAAACGCAGCCCAGGGTCCCCACCCTATCAGGCAGAAGGGCCACTTGCCCACAGCCAAGTTGTTTCTGGCTGTCAGGATCTTAGCTGGACAGAACCTCAGGGGGGAATCTGATCCAGATTCCTCACCTTACAGATGGGAAAATTGAGGCTCAGACAGGGGGAGTGATCTGCTCTAGGTCAGGCTGTAGTGCAGGTGGACATGTAGAGCCAGGCCTGGAGTCCAGCGGGCAGCCCTGCCCTGTCCCCTAGGGGTCTGTGGGATCCTTGACCCGACAGGACCGGGGTCATGCAGTTCCTCCTCCTGCCTCCAAGCCAGCTTCCTCTTAACCAGCCTAAGCTGTCCCTGAAAGGCCCCGTTTCAAAACTTCCCATTAAAAATATTTACCTTTTTAGGCCAAGCACAGTGGCTCACGCCTGTAACCTAGCAGAAGAATTGCTTGAACTCAGGAGTTCAAAACCAGTCTGAGCAAAGGCGAGACCCTGTCTCTACTAAAAAATAGAAAAATGAGCTGGGCATTGTGGTGGGCGCCTATAGTCCCAGCTACTGGGGAGGCTGAGGTAAGAGGATCGCTTAAGCCCAGGAGTTTGAGGTTGCTGGGAGCTATGATGACACCATTCTAGCCTGGGCAACAGAATGAGGATCTGTCTCCATAAAAAAAAAAAAATGTCTACTCTCCTTTCGGTCACTTCTTCACCACCTGTGGCTGTAACTGTCCCTGGGGGATGATGGCACTGGTCCCTCTTTTAAGGCCTGGAATTTAGTGAGTGTATAATCCATCCCAAGGTTCATTCTTATTTTAATAGCAGGTTTATTGAGCTATAATTCACATTCCATACAACCATACAATTCACCCTTTAAAGTGTTCGATGCAGTGGCCTCTTCCAGTAGTGAGAATTACACAACCGTCACTACAATCAAGGTTAGAATATTTTTATTAGCCCCCAAGAAACCCTGTGCCCATCAGTAGTTATTCCCCATTTATCCCCAATCCCCACCCCAACAGCTATGGAATATGATTTTCAGTAATTGAGTTTTTTAAATGCTATTTTTAATATTTTTGAGACACACTGATGAATTTTAAAGAACTTTAATCCACTTTTTACCAGTGAAATGGGGCTTGGGGTTTTTGTGTGTGTGTGACCTTTTTTTTGCTTACAAAGGGTCTCAAAGTCTAGGGAGACCAGGGGTGGAGCCACAAATCGTTCATTTTAGCCCTTCCCATCTTCAAACACTGTGGGGTAGTCCCAGAAGTTCCAGGTGTGCCCACCTGTAAGTGGCTTCTGGGAAGAGGGCAGAGAGAGGTCAGGGCTGCGGAGGCAGCGTGGGTAGCCCCCAGGGCACTTAGAAGCCTAGAAAGGTGTGATTTTCGGAGTCTTGAAATCTGGAGCTGAGAGTTCATCTGAGTCGCAGGCTGAATGAACAGAGCCTCCTTTGTAGGAAGGCAGGGCCCAGGCCCTCTGGGGACACAGGACCGAGGTGCCCTGCAGGCTGCAGCTAGAAGCCACTCTCTAGTGCAGGGCCTGAGGCCACCCTGTGGTGAGCCCCCTGGCCCAGATGCCCCATGGTTCCCGGGGCAGCAGTGGGCAGTCGGGGATGGGGGGAGGCTGGGCTAGCATTTCCATCTGCCCAGCCCAGGCTCTCAGCTTAGCTGTCCAGCAGACAGAAGCACTGGGCTTTCCCCAGGTTGGTATGGCACAGACATGGCACTGCCAAGTTGTCCAGCCATCCAGGCCTGTAACATGTGACTCTGGGCCAGCGTTTGTTACATTTCACTGGCAGCGTGTTTGGTGGGCAGGGACATGGACACTGGGCCCAAGTAGCTGGATTCCCCACTGTTAGCCTGGCAATTAGGTGCCCCCTCTGTGCCTCAGTGCCCTCAGCTGTAAAAGAGATGAGACCGCTCCCTGAGAGAAGTTAGTAACCCAGAATAATTCCCTTCCTTAAGCCCATGTGGAGTCCATTGCTGTGGGTGTGCCCTGGAGAGCTTCGCCCACATTCCTGGTCCAGATGGGCAAAAAGGCCCTGGGGAAGAGCGGGACATCCGGGTGCAAATCCTAGCTCTGGCTTCTGCCAGTGGCACACCCTGGGCAAGTGATTTAGACTCTGTCTCCAGTGTCCTTACCTGTAAACTGGGATGTGGTAATGGCACACCTCTGTGACTACTAAACCCTCCTAAGAAGGCTGCAGAGGGCTTACCACGGTACCCGGTCCAGAGCGGGGCTGTCTGTGTTAGCTCTTCATATGAATTCAGAATGAAAAATCAAACCGTTGGATTTTTAGTTGCCTCTTCATTTATCAGAATGAATATCTCCCGGTGGTGGTGATGGCCCTGTGGTGAGTGTGCTTTGCTGCAAAGCTGCCTGCACTGTGCTGACCTGCAGTTCTCTCTCTCCTCCCTTTCCCTCAGCCGAGCCGCTGCCGCTCATGGATCTCTGCCGCCGCTCCGTGCGCCTGGCCCTGGGGAAGGAGCGACTGGGGGAGATCCACACGCTGCCGCTGCCTGCTTCCCTCAAGGCCTACCTCCTCTACCAGTGACGCACTCCCGGGGACCACCAGCGCGACAGCCACCTGGTGCCAACTCACTGAGCCGCCGGCCACTGGGGCCACCACACCCTGCGCCTTGGACCAGCGTCCGCAGGCAGCTGTGGGCAGAAGTCCTTGCTCTTCCTCTCTGCCCCGCCTGGCTGCCTCTGCCACACCAGGACCTATGGCGACACAGGCTCCTCTTCCCATTCCTGACACTGGCAGAAGGCAGTGTCCCTGCATGCCGTCAACAACACTCCTTGACAAGATACACCGAGAATAAACGCCTACGCTGAGCTCCCATCTGCTCTCGGAGTGGAATGTGAACTCCCCACACCTCCAGGAGAAGGCGGGGGCCACCTGGGGGTCCCAAGGTAGTGCCACCACTCTGAGAGCAGGTACCAGGAGTGCTAACAGGTGCTTAGACAAGGCCATGGGTGCCCAGCCCAGTGGGGCCGTGCCACGGCAGATGAAGCTCAGGACATCAGAAACTCACCACGGACACCAAGGCAGAAACTAACAAGCACCGTGCATCAATCCCAGCTGCCGGTGCCCCTGTACCCTGTATTTATTCTTTTAACAATAACAAAAGCCATTTATTTATTCCATTTAGAAAGGAAACGTTTCAGTCACTCCTCTCTCTGGCTGTGTTCCGTTGCTTCCCTCCCTTCTGTACCCTCCTTGGGACGTGTGTGACTCACCTGTCCTCCCTGGGCCTTGCCTGTGGCACAGTGCACATGGGCACAGGCACAAGGGTGTCTTTGTTTGGGTCCCCTGACCTGCAGTTTTCCAGAGGGCTCTGCTCCGAGTTCCCGAGTGGGCCCCTCGGGGAGAATTAGCCTCACGTGCAATAGGGTGTCTTAGGGAGCCCCCGGAAAGGGCGGTGGCAGTCCCCCCTTGTCTGTGGGTGGCCACCTACCTCTCATACATCTTTGCACATGGTAGCATTTTTTTTTTTTTGTCTTCTACGGGATTTTTTGTGTGGGTTTCATTTTGCTTTTGCTTTTCTGCCTGAGATTTCCCAAGTGCATCCTTAGAAACTCTGGGTGTGCCTCAAGACCCCCAGAACTAAGAAGGGATGGGGAGTGGATCTCTGTCCCCCAAAAAGCCATTGGCAGGGCTGGACAGGGGTGATCAGGGACACAGAATCTAGGGTCACTGAAGCCAGGGTGGATCTTTTCTTGGCACCCTGAAGGGGAGCAGCCCCAGGTCTTCATGACTCCCACAGAGCCTCGAGAAGGGTGGCGTGGGCCACCAGCAGGAGAGCGACACCCTGTCCCCAGCACCTCCCCCAGTAGCATCCCCCAGCCCCTGCTCCCACCTTCACCATTTTCTTTGATCTTGAAGTCAGCTCTGAGTCTGACTCATCTCTGCACAGGTACAATAAATGACTTTATTTGCTTAAAATGTTTAATATATATACATATATATATATTTGTCCGTAAGAATTATGTTTTAAACAGCTGCTATAAGGTACCTTTTGAAAAAAAAGAAAAAAAAAAGATCTCTTCCAGTGGAGTATATTTTTTAAAGCACAAAATTGGTGCCAAGACTGGATGAGAAATGTAAATGACCTTGTTATTCTGAGGGGTTTTTTTCCCCTTTCGGGCAGGGGACCTTACCTGTAAGACTTCAGGGATGTCCCTTGCCCCTGCTTCAGGGTGGGTCACATTTTGATGAGGGAGAGAGCTTAGCGCCCTGACCCAGCTGGCCCCAGGGATGCCGCAGAATGAATCACGAGCTCTCTCCCCGTCTACCACCCTGACTCTCTAGGGCCCAAGACCCCACCTTTCTTTCCTGTTATCCCAGAGCCTTGTGACTTGTACAGTTTTGAAACTCCCGTTCTATTTTATGATGGTTGATAATAGTCAGTAATCCAATAAATAAAGGAAAGTTTTTAAAATATAAAACCACTTTTGAGTTCCTCCTTTGTGCCGACCCCTCCTGGGTCCCTCCAGCTCCACAGCCCGGTTTTCAGCAGATGATGGGCTGACAACCTGCCACCCCATGCAGAGGGTGGCATGCCAGGTGAAGGAGGGGTCCCGGAAGGATGACATGAGAATATTGCCATCCCCTTGTCAGAGGGTAAACCTGACAGCCCGTCTAAGGGACCTTGCTGAGCCTAGGAGAAGTGACCATGTTTTTTAGTGACTGCCTCTGGTGCCTCTGCACAGTTAGAAAGCTCGAGTCGACCAAGGGCTCTCTAGGAGCAGACTGAGCCACTGTGAGTGTCCTTGGAGTCCAGGCTGGGCACTTGGGGAAAGGTTCAGCCCTTTGTGTCTCTGGTCCCAAGTGCGCAGTGATGCTTGAAGAGCCTTGAATGAGTGAACCCCTTCTTCCAGCTGCTGTGGGAGGGCCCCCAGCAGAAAGGACAGGAAATCCTGGCTTATTCAGAGGATCAATGTGTGATAAAATGAACAGTCAAGAAATTTACTAGACGTGACCCTATGCCATGACAAGTTTCCAAAGCATCAGCAAGAGCATATTCAGCTTGTGGTAGGAATGTTTCCTTCTAAAGGCAGGATCTGGTGGTGCTGTGGAAAGTGCCTGGTTTGGCATGGCGCCTGTAGCTCAGCGGTTAGGGCTCTAGCCATGTACAATGGAGCTGCAGGATTCGAACCCAGCCCCAGCCTACCAAACAACAATGACAACTACAACCAAAAAATAGTGGGGTGTTGTGGTGGGCGCCTGTAGTCCCAGCTACTTGGGGGGGAGGGGCCTGAGGCAAGAGAATCACTTAAGCACAAGAGTTTGAGGTTGTTATGAGCTGTGACACCACTACACTCTATACTGAGGGCAACATAATGAGACTCTCAAAAAAAAAGAGTGCCCGGTTTGAGGGCCCAAAGTCCCACCCCCCTTTTTTAAGAGCATCCTAGCCAGCTGTCCTCAGTCCACCTCTCTCAGCAGCACCTGAGAGGGGTTGTTAAAATACAGATTCCAGGGTCCCACCTGAGTAGGACCAAGACAACATTTCTGGGGCCAGGCCCAAGAATCTGCATATTCCCAAACTCCCCAGGTGACTTTGCCTAAGAGAATTTGAACACCAGTGATGGTGGCTGTGTCAGCTCCTTCTCTTACAATGTTGCTGGGTAAAGGGAAACCATTGCCATGTATTGATGGGTTGGCCCAGGGAGGAACACACAGACTCCTGAGTCAGGCCTGGTTCAAATACAGGCTTTGTGGCCTTGGGCATAGGGACAGACCTCCATAAAATGACAGTTGTCATGATGCCTATCTCCCAAGAGGGGAGCCAGGATCAGAGGAGGCTCCCAGAACAGGACCTGGTATCTTTGCAAGCATGCAAATGAATGCACTTCTGAAAAATGGCAGTTGCTGGATTGGGACTGAGTGTTTGAGGAGGGACCTAATATCTCTAAACTAGCCTCCTGATAAATGTCCTTTCTGCCCAGGTGAAGTCTCCAAAGGTCAAAGTAGGTACTAGGAAGAGAGTCCCCTGGGTGTTTTTCCCAGACACAGTGGAGGGGGATCTGAAATTATTTTTAGGTTGGGGTTCATGTCTGGGTTGAAGTTGCAACTCCGGCTTCCTTTGAAGGGGGGCAGCAGGGGATTGGTGGGGTCAGGTTTTGGGGTGGAGGGGCACAGGGAAAATCAGGGCCTTTGTGCTGCCAGGAGACTTCTGGGGGAGCAGGGTTTTGTGCTGAAGGGAGCGGTATTAATAAAACCATCTGTGCAGACTTGGCCCATGTGGTTGTAATTAATCCCCTGCCTTTAAGCAGGTAGCAGACTCTCAGGGCCTGGCCATAGATGGGAAGAGCCGTCCCGCCCCACCCTGCTGCACACAGCCTCCCTCCTGCCTTCCCCTGCTCCTCGGCGGGATGAGGAATGTGGACTTTACTGAACCATAAACTATGCTGGGGGAGCTGGGGAGGGGGCCGAAGACAGAGCAATTAGTTCATGCTCCAGTCCAGACACCCAAACATGGTTGGATTCCAGCTGCAAGGAATATTTGAAATAAATGAGCTGCCCAGGGCCAGGAGTTTGCTGTGTTTTCTGTATGGGGCCATGGCAACCAGGGAGGAAATCGTGAGCTAGGGATTGGGCTCTAGAATCAACAAATGATGTCCTGGCCGAGCAAATCCAGAGGAAGCCACTCATGGCTCTCCTAGGGTTTCTCAGGACTCGGCTGCTGGAGAGCAGGACGCGCCCAACCATCCTCCTGGCGCACTTAGACCTTCCCTGTCCTCTTCTGCGCTCTGATTTCTTCTCTCTCTCTCTCTCTCTCTCTTTTTTTTTTGGTAAGAAAATAGAAAACTAACTCTTCTCTAGAACCTTTCTTCTTGGGCCAGAGAACAGCTGCTGCTGTTGCTGCCAGTCTGATAATGATTTTCCTGGGCAGAGGAATATTGTCAGTGGAAAAGCCCGGCCTGAGGGCAACTGGCCACGCAGAAGGTGCCCCTGACCTTGTGCTGGGTCTGTCTTCCCGCTCAGAACAGCTTACAGCCTCCTCTGGGTCTGCTTTCTGGGGAGAAAAGGCAAAGATCTCCCCCAGCTCCCTGATGGCATTCGAGCTGTCCCCAAAGATGCATCCTATGAACACAGATGGGTAACAGAACCTCGCTTGGGGTTTGCAGCTGGGGTTCACAGATGCACCCCCTGCATCTGAATCATCAGGATACCTGGGGATGGGAGGAGAAGCAAAGAAAGACCCTCCCGCAGGGCCATCCCCTCTGGAGCTCTCATGGAGTTCCCCAGGACCTCAGCACAGCATCAGGACAAGGGCATCCACCCAGGACCGTGCTTCTCCTCAGACCGTGCCTCCCTGTCTCCCCACAGCCTAAGAAACATTCCATTTCCCCTCCCACCTACGCCCCTGGGCCCCACCTTTGAAAGATTCTTTTCAGCCTTGCCAATCCCAGGGTTTCTGAAATCCACAGGTGGAGTAAACTCCAGCGGAGGAGTAAGGGACATTCAGCTTCCAGTCTGGTCCACGTGCTGGGGCCTCGTGGCTGAGGAGAAGGGGCCTGGGCTTGGGGCCAGCCTCCCTGCCTTACTGCTCAGGGGCCCTGCGGTCTCCATCTGTGAAATGGGGACAGCACCTTCCTCCCTGGGTGCCATTGGTCTCAGTCCAGCGAGTTCCCACCCTTCCCTTAATGCAAACATCAAACTCACAGTTATAAAGTGTGCACTTCAGCGGGGTGTTGTACATTCCTAGTGCCATGCAGCCATCCCTTCTATCTAGTTACAAAACATCCAGAGGGACCCCACACCCAGTGAGGGACCACTCCCTTCTCCCCATCCCCCAGCCCCTGGCAACCACCCATCTACTTT